TCCTCAGCAGGCTGTGGCTCAGCAGGCTGTGGCTCAGCAGGCTGTGGCTTAGGGCTTCCTGTATTGGCAACTGTTGTCACATCTGAAGCATGATGCTTCAGGGAAGCAAGAGGGAGGTGGTTTCTGGTTGGCTCTGGGTATTGAGTTCTTGATGTTTAAAAAAAAAAAAAAAGCAGGAACCAGTGACTCACACCTGTAATCCTAACTACTCAGTAGGCTGAGATCTGAGGATCATAGTTCAAAGCCAAGCCAGGGCAGGAAAGTCCATTGTGAAATTCTTATCTCCAAAAACCCAAAAAAGCCAAAAGTAGAACTGTGGCTCAAGTGGTAGATGGACAACTCTAGCCTTGAGCAAAACAAAAAGCTCAGGGACAGCACCCAGGCCCTGAGTTCAAGCCCTAGGACCAGCACAAATAAATTAGGAATGAAAGACAGGAAGGGAGGGAGGGAAGGAGGGAGGAAAGGAAGGAAGGAAGGAAGGAAGGAAAAAAAGAAGGAAAGAAGGAAGGAAAGAAAGAAGGAAAGAAGGAAGGAAAGGAGGGAAGGAAGGAGGAGGGAGGGAGGGAGGGAGGGAGGGAGGAAGGATCTTAAGATTAATCAATGTAGAGACCAAGAATTTTTTTTTTTTTGGTTGTGGGGCTTGAACTCTGGGCTTGGGTGCTGACCCTGAGCTCTTCGGCTCAAGGTAAGCGCTCTACCACTTGAGCCACAGTGCCACTTTCGGTTTTCTAAGTGGTTTATTGAAGATGAGTCTCATGGACTTTCCTGCCTGGACTGCCTTTGAATCATGATCTTAGATCTCAGCCTCCTGAGTAGCTAGGATTACAGGCGTGAGCCACTGGTGCCTGGCTAAGAAATTTTATTAGTAAAGCAAAGGAAAGAGAAAAAAGTATACAGCTAGACATGAATACTGGCACACGTGCTAATAGGTATAATGAGTGCTTTAGCATCACAGGTACATATCGTAATACAATAGGTTGGAGTTTAGCTCAACTTCACCTTAGGACAGGTGTTTTTCTGTTTGGACACCTGGTATTTTGCCAATTACACTCTTTTATCAACTGGGTCCAGAGACCTCAAGGCTGGCCTGCTCAAATTTGGGTCACTGATAGGGAGGAATTTTCCTCCAACCTCAAGTCATTGATGTCTGGACTTCTCTCCAGACAAAGGATGAATTCTTTCAAGACATCCATCCCTGAGATAATATTTTTCTTAGTAAACGCTTTTTGTGCCCAAAGTAGTCCTTTTCCCAGAATATGTGTCTATTTTAAGATTTCCTTGCTTCGTTTTAGAGCATGCTATCATCTGGGCATGTAAACAGGGTCAGAGGGAAGAGAACTTCTGTTTTTTTTTCTTTTCTACTAAATGTTACAGCTTATGAGAGACTATAGAGCTCAAGATAAAAATAATGAATTCATTAATATAATATTGTATTGAATTTATTAATATAACGTATTATATTCATTAATACAATATCTGTCTCTGTGTGTCCCATGTCTCATTTTCTCTGATCTATCCTGTCTCACAACCATGACTGTGACAAATCGAAAGAAAATATGTATGCTCTGCTTTCAAAAAAAAACTCTAATCTTCTTACTTCCCTGTAAATGTCTGGAAATTCTCTTTTTCCCAAAATGTGTAAGAGTACAGCTATTTGTGAATATTATTATAGATTTGCATATTGAAAGTGAGGCAAGCACTCTACCACTCTACACCCCCAACTTAATTATAGATTTTTCATGTTTAACAAAAGAACTTTCTTCTATACTCCTTGTAATACTATACTGAAATATCACTTGTTTAACAAAAATACTTACAGCCCAATCCTTGGACCAGATTCTGTGAGGGTGAGGTACTCATGCTTTCCTGACCCCGACCATAAATCAATTTTTCTTCTATTTCCTTTGCTCTTCCACCCTCAGAACACATTTTGTCCTATATGCTGTTTGATTGTGTTCCTCTTTCTATTCCATAGCCACTCATGCCTCAAAGCTGCACCCTCAGGCCAGAAGTTTTACAAACCTGGCCTCTAGGCCTCCACCTCCAGCTCTTCATTGGAGCTTATTTAACCTTCTCTCCAAAATAGTTCTTAATTTCACCTACCTCTCTCTTCATTGACCTTTTCTGACCTACTCTATCTCCTACCCAGACAAATACAATAAGCTTAACCTCCTTACTGCTTTATCATTTTAAGGAGTAGATAGTATCAGACTTCTGGAACCCTTTCAATGCTTGGACACCGTGTTTTGAAGAGGCTGAGAGTCTTGGTGACAGGTTTCGTGTTCTGTATTTTCCCCCTAACTTGTCACATTCTCATCACACGGTCTTGTTTCAGTTCCTTGATAGTAAGAAACTTGTGTGCTTTCTTCAGTCTTTGCACAGATGGTTGATTCTGAGAGACCTTTTTCATTTGGCTAATTCATTATCTGGGACTCAAGGCCATCTTAAGTGACATAGAAATGTTCTAATCTCTCTCTCTCTCTCTCTGGGCTTGGGTGCTGTCCCTACGCTTTTCAGCTCAAGGCAAGCACTCTACCGCTTGAACCACAGCGCCACTTCTGGTTTTCTAGTGGTTTATTGGAGATAAGAGTCTCACGGACTTTCCTGCCTGGCTGGCTTTGAACCGCGATCCTCATAACTCAGCCTCCTGAGTAGCTAGGATTATAGGCAGGAGCCACCAGTGCTTGGCCTAATATCTCTTTTGTCACAGTCTGTTAATGCTGGTGATCTACCTCTGGAGCCACATCTGCTTCCTGCTTTTTGGCAGTCTTTTCTGCCTGTGTTGACTTCTAAAAGTCCTCAGATCTCAACCTCCCCAGTAGCTAGAATTACAGGCCACAAGTGCCTGGCGTCTTAATATTCATAATTGCATTCTAAGCAATTGCATTCTATGCAATTATCACCATTTAGAATACATATTATCTAGTGGTTTCACTTATTTGATTAAGATCTATCTTCTCCAACTGAGTGTAAGCACTAAAGAGGGCAGAGGCCATGGAATGTGTTCACCAATGTATATGGCAAATACAGAGGTCTGATCTTGGGCTTAAGACAATTTTGGAAGGGAAACTTGATATGGCTTTCTTTGCTTGAATGGTTTTTGGTGTCTGATAAATTGAGGTTTCTCTTTCACTGTCTGCAACCTTAGTCCTAAGATAATGGGCAGGGACAGCTTAGCAACTTCACGGTCTCTTTTTCATCTGCCTGTGACTGAGGCTAAAAGTCCCTGAGAGTACCAACTACCTGGGAGAGGAATCTTACTGTAAGTTACAAAAGTGGAGGGAGGTTATTAGGGTAAAGATGGAGTTTTACAAACAAAGGAACAAGGCTGTTAAAGAGAGGCTGCAAATCCTCTCCAAGTGGGAGAGAAGGGAACAGTGTGATGAAGGAAGGTGGGATGTGGGTGTGATGGGGTGAGGTGGATAGAGGCTTCAAAGAGGTGAGACCTGTTCCTTTGTAATTGGCTGCTCAGCTTCTGCTTTTGGTATCTGCTGTGAACAGATGGTGTACAGTGATCTCTCTGTCCCACTGAGCCAAGGAAGGAATGAAACTTTCCCAGTTTTGGTGTTGACCCTGTCTCATGGGGAACAAATTACCCTGCAGCAATGAGCAATTAGTAATTTTCTCCCCTACTTCGCTTAGGAAATTTTACCTTTAATCTCTAAATGGACTATATTAATATCCCGGCCAAATTTTAACCAGAGATTTTTCCCTAATGCCTAAGGCTTCCTCCCTTTATCCCCAAATCTAAATATACTGAAAATATTTTCTAATAGCAGATCTTTCATAGATTTAGTAATTCTCCAACTTATACAACACCCCATTAAAGAGGAAAAACCTTCAATTTTTAAAATTCTCACAAATTTTATACTATTTAAATAGTTTAAGTTATTTTAAAAGTATTTGTCTGTCCTTATATTTATACCTTTTATATGACTGTAACAAAGCTCATGTTTCAAACTAGCTACAACTAAAACTAATGAGGTTAATAAAGTTAAGAAAAGAAAGAAAAAAAAAAAGAACCTCAAAGCTGGTCACAGATGGCTCATCCCTGTAATCCTAGCTACTCAGGAGGCAGAGGTCGGAGGAAACCAGCCCAAGCAGGAAGGTCTAATCAGCAAAAAGCCAGGAGTGGAGCTGTGTTTCAAGTGATAAAACGCTGCCTTTGATCAAAATAGCTCAGGGATGGTGCCCAGGCCCCGAATGTAAACCCTAGCACTAGCACACACTCCTGTACACACACAGGCACGCACGGCCCCGCACACACGTGCATGAACATAAATTAGCATCATTAACTTAATGTGACAAGTGATGTTTGAGTGAAATAAACTCATAAATCCCACAGTGACAGATTCAGGGCAAGGTCTTCTTTACAGTAGGCGTCCCGCACCCCCATTTACCGAGCTGTGACTCAACTTTCCCACCATTCCCCTTGTTTTCTTCTTTGTGCTCTGTGTTAATGCATGTTCATCCACGCGAAAACCTGTACCCGTGCTAGCAAGTTCATAGTGGGGGTAGCCAGGAGCTAGGGTAGGATCTGAGAGAAAAGGGACAGCTATGGGAGAGGGGACGGAAATATTCTAGAATAAAACGGTGAGTATGTTAGCACAACTCTGTGAATACATACACAAAACCCTGGGGCATACATTTGAAAAATAGACTTTCCTGCTATGTAAAAATATCCCTATTGAATTAAATTAAGTTAAACATTTTTAAATCGCAGTAGTGAGCGGTCAGAGGAGACCCCTCGGCCCTCCAGGAGGAGGGGACTGGATACTAGCTAGCTTCAGGCTTCGGGAGGACCTCGGCCCTCCCCCCCCCCCACTCCCGTCCCGCTCCGGGAGAGGAAAGGTACGGCCCACAGAGCGCCGATTGGCTAATCTCTAAAGGAGGGTGGGACGAAAAGGGGCGTGCCAAGCCGCTGTCTGCGGGGCGAGGCGGGACGAAGCCACGGCTCGCGAGATTTTGCTGGTTCCGTATTTCGGGTCTGCGGAGTGGCGGGGGGGAGGCGGACGAGGTGGACGCCGAGGTGTGTCCCTGCTTGCCGCGACTCGAACCCCGGCTCGAGCCGGGCCGCCCTGCTGTTCTGCTCTCCGCGAGCTGAGGACGCTCCTCCGCCGCTCGGTTCCCGCTCGGGTGCCGAGTCCTGACCAGGGGCCGGGGGCCAGCGCCCCGTCCCCTGCCCTGAGCACCGAAGATGAGCTTCCTCTTGTGAGTGAGGCCGAGCGGGGGCTGGGGGGCCCGGGGCGGAGGGTGGGGGGACCCCGGGGCCGGCGTCCGGCGTCGGCTCTGCCCGGCTCGGGGCCCCAGGGGAGGCCGGCGGGTGCGGGGGAAGCCGAGGAAGCGGAGCCAGGAGGTGGGGGAGCCGAAAAGCCCCGAGGCCGGCAGCGCCTCCAAACTTTTCCGCCCCAGCGCCCCAGAGGGCGGAGAGACGGGGGGCGGACCGAGGGCCCGGCCCCGCCGCCGGCTCCCGGGTTCGCCCAGGTCCCGATCTTCTCTGGATCGTCTCCTGCCCGGTAAGGATCCGGGCTGCTTTAGCTTTTCTTTTCTCCCACCGTCTGTCCGGTTTCATGAACGTCGTTAAATTACCCTGGAGGGAAAAGGTTGCCCCCTGGAAAATGCATCGCTGTCGTGTGGGGGCCTTGCAGCCAGACCCCCTGAGCCATTCTCATTCTGCCCACGTACGGACTGCGTGACCTTGTAACTGTTGTCCTTAGTGGAATCCCATTTTAGAGATAAAGCCCGGGGCCCCAACGAGACACGCACCTGCACACGCTGTAAGATCTGAGAACCCTCGCACTACTCTTCAGGTGCTTTTTACCTTGCGTATTGCTTAACTATGACTTGTGAGTGCACAACTGTACGCTTTCCGTTTGCAATATAATCCACCTGCTTGTCAGTTTAATTAAATTTTACTGAATTATGCTGTGTTTCACGACCCTTGTTTTCCTCCCCTGCCCCCTCCGCCAATACTACGGCTTTTGAACTCAGGACCGTATTTAGCTAGACAGATGCTCCATCAACTGAGCCGGGTCCCCTAGCTCACTTTTAGTTTACTCTGCAGATGGGATGTGGCTTGTACTTGAAGGGCCTCAGATCACCAACTGCTGTACATCTCTGCTGCAGCCTGAATCTCAAATGTGTAATCAGGCTCATTTGTTGAGATGGGGTCTCAGTGGCTTTTCTGTCCAGGCTGGCCTCAAACTTTGATCCAATCTCTTCTGGAGTAGTTGTTACAGGTCAGAACCATTGTGCCTAGGCCTACTCATTCCTTTTCCTTTCCTTTCCTTTCCTTTCCTTCCCCTTCCCCTTTCCCTTTTTCCTTTTCCCTTTCCCCTGTCCTGTCCTGGAGTTTGAACTCAGGTCAGGGCACTGTCCCTGAGCTCTTTTGTTCAAGGCTGTCATTCTGCCACTTGAGCCACAGCTGTACTTTTCTGATTCTTGGTGGTTAATTGGAGATGAGTTTCATGTACTTTCCAGTCTAGGTTGACTTCAAACTGCCATCCTCAGATCTCAGCCAAGATTACAGGCATAAACCACCAGCAGCCTACTCAATTCTTTAATGTGATAAATTTGGATTCTTTGTAGTACTTTGCTGTTATAAATAGCTTTACTAAAATCTCACCTGCTAAGCCGAGTGCTGGTGGCTCACCCCTGTAATCCTAGCTACTCACGAGGCTGAGATCTGAGGATCTCGGTTCAAAGCCAGCCCAGGCAGGAAAGTCCGTGAAACTCTTATCTCCAATAAACAACTAGAAAACCAGAAGTGGTGCTGTAGCTCAAGTGGTAGAGCGTTCGCCTTGAGCGGAAGAGCTGAGGGACAGCTCCCAGGCCCCATGACCGGCAAAAAACAAAAAACAAAACAAAAAAAAATCTCATCTGCTTTCCTCTGCATATTGAAGAATGATTATGGTGTTAAAAGTCTGTGTCCTTCAGATTTAATGACTGGTAGTACACACTTGCATATTACCCCCCCCCATAGATTGTTTACTTACTGATTTGTGGACACTTAGTTGCCTTTGGACATACTTATGAGGTTTTATTTCTTTTAAACTTTGTCTTGTTGATGGACATGGATTGTTTTTTCTCTTATGAATAATACTGCTATGATAATTTGTATATAGGTTTTGGTGTGTATGTGTGTGTTCATTTCCCTTGGTTAGAGACGTAGGAATGGAATTGCTAGTCTTTTTAGGAACTGCTGAACTTTTCCAAAGTAAAACTGCTGCCAGTTTTATTTTTGCACTGCACTATAAGGAGGTTCCAAATTGCTCACACTCTTGTACTTCTGGTTTATCACTTTTATTATAGCCATCTAAGTATGAAGTGAAATGCCCTGCTTTAGTTTTGTACTTCCCTAATGACTAATAATGTTGAGCTTCTGTTTTGTGTGCTTATTTGCTGTTTGTACATATTCTTTGGAGTAAGGCTATTCAAATCTTTTGCCCACTTTTAAGTTGGATTGATTTTTAAGATTTTTATTAGCACCTATTAATTGGAGAAATTAATGGATGTCACTGATTTTCTCATACTTGTGTGAATTTTGTATTCAATGTCCACCCTGTTTTCCTACCTTTTTTTTTTTTTTTTTGTCAGTCATGGATCTTGAATTTTGGGCTTGGGCACTGTCTCTTAGCTCTCAAGGCAAGCTCACTACTTCTTTATATAGTTTTTTTTTTTGTCGGTCGTGGGGCTTGAACTCTGGGCCTGGGCGTTGTCCCTCAGCTCTTCAACTCAAGGCGAGCGCTCTACCACTTGAGCTACAGCGCCACTAAGCTCACTACTTCTTGAGCTACAGCTCCACTTCTGGTTTACTGGTGGTTTATTGGAGATAAGAGTCTCACAGACTTTCCTGCCTGGGCTGCCTTTGAACTGTGAGCCTCAGAACTCAGCCTCTTGAGTAGCAGGATTACAGGTGTGAGCCACCTGTGCCTGGCTACCTTTTTGTTTTTGAGTTATGAGTTCTTTATATATTTTGGATACAAGTCTCATCATATTTATGATGTATAAATATTTTCCTCCTTCTTGTGGATCATTTTCATTGTCTTGATAATGTTATTTGAAGCACAAAAGTCTTACTTTGGATATAGATGAGAGTGAACCTTGAAATAATTTCACCATTTCACATTCTCCTGTCATTCAACTTCTTTTCTTTCATTCTGTGTGTGTGTGTGTGCGTGCGTGCGTGCGTGTGTGTGTGTGTGTGTGTGTGTGTGTGTGTGTGAGAGAGAGAGAGAGAGAGAGAGAGATGATGCTGTGCTCAGGCCTGCTAGGAACATGCTTCTAGCCCCCTCACTTTTTTTTCCCTGGGTCTTTAGTTTTATTTACTACTGAGGATATATTAACCAGTTAGATTGTTTGTATTTATATAGAATATATACAGCCTGGCGCTGGTGGCTCATGCCTGTAATCCTAGCTACTTAGGAGGCTGAGATCTGAGGATCGCGGTTCAAAGCCAGCCCAGGCAGGAGAGACCGTGAGACTCCTATCTCCAATAAACCACCAGAAAACCGCAAGTGGCGCTGTAGCTCAAGTGGTAGAGCACTCGCTTTGAGCTGAAGAGCTGAGGGACAGCGCCCAGGCCCAGAGTTCAAGCCCCACGACCGACAAAAAAAAAGAAAAGAATATATACATTAAATACAATTCAAGGTGTGTATGGTGACTCATGAGGCTGTGGCAGAATAATATTCAGTTCAATGCTAGCCCAAGCTACATCCTGTCTCAATAAAAATGTAAACTTCTGTGTTTTTACTTAGATATAAAAATGTTTTTGTGTATTTTTTCTTTATTTTGGGGGGGGGAGTCCGGTCATGGGGCCGGAACTCTGGGCCTGGACACTGTCCCTCAGCTCTTCAGCTCAAGGCTAGTGCTCTACCACATGAGCCATAGTGCCACTTCCAGCTTTTTTCTTTTTGCTTATGTGGTGTTGAGGAATCGAACCCAGGGTCTCATGCATTCAAGGCAAGTGCTCTACCACTGAGCCACCTTCCCAGCCCCTGTATATTTTTTCTTAAAATATTTCTGTATTAACTCATCTGATTTTTTTCCAAAATATTCTAATAACAGGAGCAAATTTCCAGTACTCTTCAAGGCCCTTTTGCCTTGGTTATTTTTGAGGTAGGGTCTCACTTTATGGCCCAAAAGCCTAGGCTTTAAGTCCACTGGGAATAAGAATACTTTGTCCAGACTCTTTGCATACCCTGAAATAACAGGTGTAACTTGAGCTAGTCTGGAGAACTTTTATGCCTGGCTGGCATTAAACTGTGATGCTCAAATCTCTGCCTCTCAAGTAGCGTGGATTATAGGCTGGAGCCTCTACACCTGGCTCATGATTCTGTTTTAATAATTTACACTCTTCCTTAAAATTCAAATTCCTCAGATAAGGTGAAAGCCCACAGCTCTGGTCCCTTCTCTCTCTGCCTTGGAAGTAGTCACCAAGTACTGTTCTGATACTTCCTTTTTTGTTGTTGTTGTTGGTTGGTCATGGGGTTTGAACTATGCCTGGGTTCTGTCCCGGAGCTCTTTAGCTCAAGGCAAGTGCTCTACCACTTGAGCCACAGTGCCACTTTTGGTCTTCTGGTGGTTTATTGGAGATAAGAGTCTCACAGACTTTCCTTGCCTGGGCTGGCTTTGAACTGTGATCCTCAAATCTCAGTCTCCTGAGTAGCTAGGATTACAGGCATGAGCCACCAGTGCCTGGCTATTCCTTTTCTTTTTTTGCCTGTCCTGGAGCTTGAATTCAAGGCCTGGGCACAGTCCCTAAGCTTCTTTTGCTCAAGGCTAGCCTCTACCACTTGAGCCACAGCACTACTTTTGGCCTTTTCTGTTAATGTGGTACTGAGGAATCCAACCCAAGGCAAGCACTCTACCACTAAGCCACATTCTCAGCCCTTAATCTGATACTTTCTATGCATTAATGAGATAGGCTGCTGTTGTAATACGATTTTATAATGAGCTTAGCATGTTTAGAATCTCTGTCTCCTTTACTACTGTACAGTGTTCCATGATGTAGCTATGACATGGTTTACTTATTTATTCCTCTACTGATAAACTTTAGAATTGTTTCCAGGGGTTGTTATTTTTTTCTATTAAAAACTATCTTAGGAAACTAATTTTTATTCCTATTATATTCAACTTTCTCTGATAGTATATTTTGGGTTTGTTTGTAGACATAGTCTCACTAAGTAGTCTAGCTGGCCTGGACTCCTCAGCCTCCCTAGTGCTGGGATACAGGTTTGTATTGCTTCACCTAGTGAAGTCAGGTTTTCTTCTTTTCTTTCCTTTGTTTGTCTCCAGGATTTAGGTCATGTTGGGAAGACCTTGTGCATGGTACAGATGGGAAGAAAAGCTCTTCCCATCAGCCAGTTGTGTCTGTCTCATTTTTTTCTGCTAAAACTTCAAAATTGTTGTGCTTCTTTACCTTTTATCTTACTGTTATTTGTTTTAATGGCATCTCAAATAATTTTGGTTTTGGAACTGAAAACCTTAGGAATAACACCTCTATTATTTATTCGTTGTTTTCTTTTGTGCTGGCTGGGGTTTGAACTCAAAGCCTTGAACTCAGAGCCTTGAACTCTTCTTTTTTTTCTTTCTGTTGATCATGGGGCTTGAACTCAGGGCCTGGGCACTGTCCCTGAGCTCTTTCAGGCTCGTACTCTACCACTTTGAGCCACAGCATCACTTATGGTTTTCTGGTAGTTAATTGGAGATAAGAGTCTCATGGCCTTTCCTGCCCTGGTTGGCTTTGAACTGTGATCCTCAGATCTCAATCTCCTGAGTAGCTAGGATTCCAGACGTGCGCCACCAGTGCCCAACTTTGACTCAGGTTTGTTTTTTTTTGGGGGGGGGGGTTCAGTTGTGGGGCCTGAACTCTGGGCCTGGGCGCTGTCCCTCAGCTCTTCAGCTCAAGGTTAGCGCTCTACCGCTTGAGCCACAGCGCCACTTCCGGCTTTTTTCTTTTTGCTTATGTGGTTCTGAGGAATTCAACCCAGTGCCTCAGCATGCAAGGCAAGCGCTCTACCACTGAGCCACCTTCCCAGCCCCTCAGGTTTTGTTTTGTTGTGATTAGCACTCTACCACTGAAGCCATATTATCAGTCTAGTTTTTTTGCTGGTTCATTAGGGATAGAGTCTCTTGGATTTTTCCATCTGGGCTAGCTTTGGACTGTGATTCTCAGAGCTCTTCCTCCTGAGTGGCTAGGATTATAGGCATGAGCCACCAGAACCTGCCCTTCCATCACTTTTTATAGGTAGAAATTGAGGCTAAAAGAAAGTTTGGTTTCTTAGTCACTGAGTTAGTGGCAGATCAAGGGTTAGAATCTAGGATTTTCCCTTTGGTTAGAATGTCCCTTATATCAGATGTCTTCATGGGGTATAACAAAATTGTCTTGTGAAATTAAATAACAAACTTTTGTGTTTGTGTGATGATAGGGATGGAACCCACAGTCTCATGGATACTAGACAAACATTGTACCACTGAACCTCAAACCCTAAAATAGCCTTTAATTGTGATTATCCCTTTTCCATTCTAACACATTTCAGAGAGTATTTTTTTATTTCATTTATATGCCTCAAATTATATCATTGTGCTTTTAGTCCTCAAAATTTATACTTTCTTCTTTTAACCCAACAGCAGCAGCCGCTCTTCTAAAACATTCAAGCCCAAGAAGAATATCCCTGAAGGTTCTCATCAGTATGAACTCTTGAAACATGCTGAAGCAACTCTAGGAAGTGGGAATCTCAGACAAGCTGTTATGTTGCCAGAGGGAGAGGACCTCAATGAGTGGATTGCTGTTAACAGTAAGTTTTTAACAACATTTACCCTTAGTGGTTTATAGAAGATTTTGTTAAAATCTTGTTATTAATAACTTTTCTTGTACAAGTATAACTGTTGTAATACAGCAAGTTATCTGCAAAGAAACAGTAGTACAAACACATCCAATAACTGTGTTATTCAGAGTACTTGGTAGTGGCTTGTGAGATGAGAATAGACTTGAGGAGAGACAATGAGTGAGATGTAAAAGTTCCTGAGAGTACTATGAAGTTGAAGGGCTCCGTCAGATCAAATAAAGGATTGATAAGTACAGAGATTATACTGTGGAACATGAGTTTATAGGAAGTCTGTCTTTGTGGATTTGCCCCACCTCCCAGCAGCCCCATTGGCCTGCACAGGTAGAAAAAGTCAGCTGTGGGCAGCTGTTTCTGTGGGCATTTAGTAGTTTGTTGTGGCTTAGGGGTGGTCTTGTACTTAATACGTATTTGTTTGCTTCATATCTTTTTGTAGTTTAATAGCTCATAAATTTTTAACATGGAACATTCTAGTTTCTAGATGTATTAGAGTTTATTCTCTTACTGAAAAATATGATTGCTTTATTCAAAGCTGTTATAAAGAGCTGCCATCATACATGTGCATGTTTTGGGGTGGGCCGAAGTTTTCCACTCCTCTGGGTAGATATGAAAGGACACAAGTACAAGATGGTATGGTAATGGTACAACCCCTGTTTTCACTCTATTTGATTCTGGTGCCCTTCATCTTGTATATACATTTTTCTAATTTGAGGAGGGGAAGGGAAATAACAAAATGCTGAAACAAGGATACAGGTTGACCCATTGTAACAATGAGCTGTACAAGACACTGTTGAAAATGAACTTTAGAACTTTGGAGTGTGGGGCTGGGAAAGTGGCTAAGTAGTAGAGCACTTGCCTTGCATGCCTGAGGCCCTGGGTTCGAATCCTCAGTACCACATAAGCAAAAAGAAAAAAAGCCGGAAGTGGTGCTATGGCTCAAGTGGTAGAGCGCTAGCCTTGAGTTGAAGAGCTGAGGGATCGTGCCCAGGCCCAGAGTTCAGGCCCCATGACCGGACCCAAAAAAAAAAAAAAAAAAAGAACTTTGGAGTGTGGGAGGGGAGTGGGGAGGAAGGAGTGGAGGAGGTGGCAAGGAGAGAGATGGTACGGAAAAAACAAAGGGGTAACAATGCTCGATAGGAAATGTACTCATTAACTTACTCATGTAACTGTAACCCCTCTATAAAGTATCTTTACAATAAAAAAAGAAAGAAAACAAAGATGGTAAGAGTATTTATAAGAAACCTCAAGTTTTCCGAAGTAGCTGGACTATTTTACATTCCCACTAGCAGCTACACATACTTGCCCAATGTTTGATATTGTCAGTGCTTGGACCATTCTAAATGATGGTAATGGTATCCATTGTTCACAGTGTGCATCTCCCTGATGAACATCTTTTCATATATATATTTGTCATCTATATTTCTTTGGTCAGGTTTAAGGTCTTTGGCTCATTTTTTGAGTTTTAAGAGTTCTTTGTATCTTTTGGATAACTGTCTTTTATTATATATGTCTTTTGCTGATATTTTTCTTCTAGCGTATTTGTGTCTTTGTGTGTGTGTGGGGGGGGAGGTAGTGAGAAAGAGAGAATGTGTGTATGAGTGTGTGAGAGAGTGTGTGTCAGTCCTGGGTCTTGAACTCAGGGTCTGAGAACTGTCTCTGAGCTTCTTTGCTCAAGGCTAGTACTCTACCACTTGAGCAACAATTCCTTATGTTTTTGTTTTTGTTTTTGGCAGGGTGTAGTTTGTTGCAGATAAAAATCTCACTGAGTGTCCTTCCCAGGCTGGTTTCAAACCACAGTCCTCAGATAATCCTCAGAGCTGGCCTCCTGAGTTGGGAAGATTATAGGCACAAGCTACTGGCACCTAGTCCTATTTGTCTTTTATTCTCTTGATATATTCTGCAGAGCAGGAACTTTAATTCAGTGAAATCTAGCCTACCAATATTTCTTTTTTCCTTTTTTTTGTTTTTTGTTTTGGGTCTGGTCATGGGGCCTGAACTCTGGGCCTAGGTGCTGTCCCTCAGCTCTTCAGCTCAAGGCAAGCACTCTACCACTTGAGCCACAGCGCCCACTTCTGGCTTTTTTCTTTTTGCTTATGTGGTGCTGAGGAATTGAACCCAGGGCCTCATGCTTGCAAGGCAAGCGCTCTACCACTGAGCCACCTTCCCAGCCCCGTACCAATTATTTCTTACATAAAATGTATCTTTGGTGTAATATCTCAAAGGTCATTGCCAAACTCACTGTCACCTAGATTTTCTTCTATGTTCTTCCTTCGTTATCTAGGAATCCTATATTTTTTTTATTTTATATAAAGGTCTGTAATTGCTTTCAAATGAACTGGGATTTGAACTCAAGGTTGTACTTGTTAGGCAGGCTGGCTACATTTGAGTAACACCCAGAGCCCAATTTTGAGTGCATTTTTGTGAAGGGTATAAGGTATGTCTTGTTTCATTGTTTGCATGTGGATTTTCAGTTATTCCAGCACTTAGTTGGAAAGACTGTCTTTTCTACATTGTATTGTCTTTGTTCTTTTTCAGGTCTGGTTCAAGATTCTCTATTCTGTTCCATTAATCTCTTTGTTATTTCTCCAGTACTGCCTTGGCTGGATTTCTGTACTTAGGTTTTGAAATTGGGTAGTGTTAGCCCTCCTACTCTGTTCTCCTTCAGTATTACTGGCTGCCCAGGTATTTTGTTTTTTGATATGAACTTTATAACTAGGGTTTGTGAGTGTGTGTGTGTACACATGTGCACATGTGTACACGGACATGCACATACATACACTGACATGCGCATGCCAGTCTCAGGGCTTGAACTCAGGGCCTAGGCATTGTCTCTGAGCTTTTTCTCAAAACTAGCACTCTACCACTTGAGCTACACTTCCACCTCTGTTTTTCTGGTGGTTGATTGTAGATAAGAGTCTTGTGGAGTTTCCTGTCTGGGTTGGCTTTGAAGCATAATCCTCAGATCTCAGCTTCAAGTAGCTAGAATTACAGCATGAGCCACCAGCATCTGGCTTGCAACCAGATATTTGAAAACCACAAAATAACTTACTGGGGTTTTGATTGAGACTAGTTGATTTTTTTTTTAATGTGGGTGCTGGGGCTTGAACCTATGGCCTGGGCACTGGAGGTTTGTGCTCAAGGCTAGTTCTCTAGTTCTACTTTCAGCTTTTTGGTGTTTAATTGGAGATGAGTCTCACAGACTTTCCTACCAGGATTGGCTTCAAATGGTGAGCCTCAGATCTCAGCCTCCTAAATTGCTAGGATTATAGGTGTGAGCCACTAGTGCTCAGCTATAATACATTGTCTTTTGTGTAAGGAAAGGTAAAGAAATTTAAGGGACAAGATAGAAAAATAGCCTGAGTGTTAAAAAAAGGAGTTGAGTTTACTGGAGTTAAGAAGTTTTTATTGTTAAATTTTTTTATTTTTTGTTTTGTTGGTCGTGGGGCCTGAACTCTAGGCCGGGGCGCGGTCCCTCAACTCTTCAGCTCAAGGCTAGTACTCTACCACTTGAGTCACTTCTGGCTTTTTCTGCTTATGTGGTGCTGAGGAATTAAACCCAGGGCCTCATGTATTCAAGGCAAGCACTTTACCACTGAGCCACCTTCCCAGCCCCTTTATTGTTAATTTTTATATATTGTTTTGATATTTAAACCACCTGAGAATGAAGGTGAAATGGGACAATTGGAATTATTTTATTTCATAGATTCCCTCCTTGAAACGGGATACCTGGATCACATTTTGAGAACCGTGACTTTGAACCAAATGAACTACCACCTGGGCATACTCTTTACTTTGAGAGAATCTCCATGGCTAAATGTTACATTCTTGGTGACTTTTTTTTTTTTCTGCTTACGTGGTGCTGAGGAATCGAACCCAGGGTCTCATGCATGCAAGGCAAGAGCTCTACCACTGAGCCACCTTCCCAGCACAAATGTTACATTCTTGGAAACATGACTAAGAGGAAAGTTTATAAGTGAGGGAGTTTTATGTAAAATTCTTTTTGACAAGGTAGATTGGGGAAAAAAATTGTTTTAAAGAATTGTAGAAAAGCCCTAGTTAATATTTTAGATACTTCCTCAGACTGAGAACACATTAAAAAAAAAAACTTTCCAAGTTTATGTAGTTCTCTATACACAGAGTAGTTAGACTTGATTCAGTCAGGTTTATTACTCATCCCTTTCTTTTTGGTTTTCCTCTACATATGGCAGAAGCTAGAATCTGTTTCCAGACCACATCAGCTCTACCTGACCTTGTCTTTTCTCTGAACTTCATAATACTTAACCTTGGGGTTTAGATCTGACCTTCCTGAACTTTATATAACTCTGTTCTCTCCTTCTCTCCCTCTTTCCCTTTCTCCCTCTCTCCTTCTCCCCCCCCCCTTTTTTTTGTAGGCTGTAGAGTTTGATCTCAGGGCCTGCATACTGTCCCTGAGCCCTTTTTGTTCAAGGCTAGTGCTCTGTCACTTTGAGCCACATCTTCACTTCTGGTTTTCTGGTGGTTAATTGGAAATATATTTCATGGACATTCTTACCCAGACTGGATTTGAATTGTGATCCTCAAATCTCAGCCTCCTGATTATAGGCAGATCTGCCAGTGCCCAGCTAGATGGTGTTTTTATATTGTTATTGTTATTAAGTAGTTGTGCAAAGGGATTACGATTCCCCAAATCAGGTTGTAAGTACAGTACTTGGTCAGTGTCATGCCTTTCTTCATTTTCTTCCTCCTGTTCCTGCCCTTGAGTTACATAATTCATTTTTTTACATAATGAAAGCTGAATATAATGACTACTGTAATTTACTCACCTTCTCTCCATTCCTGTGTCCCCCTCTTACCAGTCCCCAGAACATGCTTTTACCTCCTGGTATACATTTTGATAAACAGTACATTAGTTGTTCAGAGGAGTTACGCATTTAGATACCTCCTCTAAATATACCATCCTGTAGTCAGTTTGTTTGTGTGTAAATGCATTGAGTTCTGGATATGCTATCATGCATAGTTGCATATTAGATCTAGCTTCCACATATGAACCTGGCTTACCTCACTTATATTATTATAATATTGCCTATACCAGTATGTTCTAATGTTTCTCCTACTCCATCATGTAGTAGCTTCAGAGTTTCAGGTCTGGTAGGTCTTTGGTCCATTTTGAGTTGATATTGGTGTAAGCTGACAGATGGGGATCCAGCTTTAGCCTTCTACACATGGATGTCTAGTTTTCTTAACATTAATTATTGAAGAGGTGAACTAGGTGTTTTGACTGCTTGTTACATGTTGATACAGCTGGTTCACCTCTCCTTTATACTATCTACAACACTTTTTTCTCTTTCCTAGCCAATAGTATTATTTGGCTCCAATTGATAATTTTTTTCATATATAGTGTTTTATTCATACATGATTTATAATCAAATGATCTTGATTTATAATGAAATGATACACTCTAAAGATACAATAGTCACCATTAAGTTAAAATTATCCCTAGTATTTTCTTTTTCCTACTGTTACATGCTGGTTAAAAATTTTGTGTAAGTTTAACTTTTATTTGGACAAGTCCTAGCTACTTGGGATGCTGAGGTGAGCCTGGGAAACCTAGCAAGACTTCATCTCAAAAAAGTACTGCCTATCTTTTCTTCAACTGAGAGGTTTGATGTTTGTGTTGTGCTTACACAACAAAATACAATTTCACTATTTAATATGATTATTTAAGGTATTTAATATAAGCTGGCCACTGTTGGCTCATTCCTGCAATCCTGGCTGTTCAGGAGACTAAGATTTGAGGATCACAGTTTGAAGCCAGCCTGTGTGGAAAGTCCATGAGACTCTTATCTCCAATTAACTACCAGAAAACCTGAAATGGAGCTATGGCTCAAAGTGGTAGAGCACTAGCCTTGAGCAAAAATACTCAGGGACAATGCCTAGGCCTTGAGTTTAAGCCCCATAACCACCACTCCCCCCCAAAAAATATATATAATACAATGTTTCTGTCATCTCTGCAGCTGTGGATTTCTTCAACCAGATCAATATGTTATATGGAACTATTACAGAATTCTGTACTGAAGCCAGCTGTCCAGTCATGTCTGCAGGTCCCAGGTATGTGTACAGCTTGTTACATAGGGGATTACTTTTGCTTTATCACTAACTGATATGTTAAATAATATGTTAACGACAACTTTTATTGTCCCTTGGTTTATATAAAGACAATTCATTTAATAGTTCTTAAATACTTGCCATTAGCAGTTACTATTAAGTACCTATGTTTATGAGTACTCAGTGTTTGATTTAAAAAATCCCATTATATTGTTATTATAAAGGTGATGTACAGAGGGGCTACTATTTCAGAAGACATGTAATGAGTACTTTTCTTTTTTGTCAGTCATGGGGCTTGAATTCTGGGTCTGGGTGCTGTCCCTCAGCTCTTCAGCGCAGGGCTAGCGCTCTACCACTTGAGCCACAGCGCCATTTCTGGTTTTCTGGTGGTTTATTGGAGATAAATGTCTCACGGACTTTCCTGCTGGACGGGCTTTGAACTACAATCCTCAGATCTTAGCCTCCTGAGTAGCTAGAACTATAGGCATGATCCACTGGCACCTGGATTTTTTTTGAAAAATTATTGTTATTATTATTATTTTATTATTATTATTATTTAATGAATTTATATTGGCTTTTTAGTATTTCATTATTTTTCTTGTACTAATATATTACTAATGAAAGTAATCCTACTCAGAAGGCTGAGATCTGAGGATTGAAGTTTCAAAGGTGGCAAAAAAGTCAGATCTTATCTCCAGCTAACCAGCAAAATCTGGAAGTAGAGTTGTAGTTCAAGTGGTAGAACACCAGCCAAAGCCAAGTAAAAGCAAACAGGCCCTGATTTCAAGCCCCAATATGGGCACCAAAAGAAAAACAAAAAAACCCCACCACCACCAACAACAAAAAAACAAGGAAACAAAAAAAAAGAGCAGAGTTATATATGAACCTGCTCTCATTACAAGTTCTAAGTTGTGAAGGTTTTTGAAAACTGTCTCTAACATATTTTTCCTCCAGATATGAATATCATTGGGCAGATGGAACTAATATTAAGAAGCCAATCAAGTGTTCTGCACCAAAATACATTGACTATTTAATGACTTGGGTTCAGGATCAGCTTGATGATGAAACTCTTTTTCCTTCTAAGATTGGTAAGTTAATGTTAATAGAACTATTCTGAATGAAACATAATATTTTAATATTCTTTAAATAATTTAATAGAGATTTACATACTCTTTCCCCCAAAAACTTTACCAATATATACCTAACCCACCTTGTTTGTGTCTTCCTGTTTCTTTTTTTTTTTTTTGGGGTCCGGTTGTGAGGCCTGAACTCTGGGCCTGGGCACTGTCCCTCAGCTCTTCAGCTCAAGGCTAGCGCCCTACCACTTGAGCCACAGCGCCACTTCCAGCTTTTTTCTTTTTGCTTATGTGGTGCTAAGGAATCGAACCCAGGGCCTCAGGCATGCAAGGCAAGCGCTCTACCACTGAGCCACCTTCCCAGCCCATGTCTTCCTGTTTCTTCATCACACTGTTCATTCGCTGTTTGATCTTTTCCAATTTGTCTGGATAATTTTTTTTTCCAGTCTTGGTTCTTGAACTCAGGGCATGGGTGCTGTCCCTGAACCTCTCTGTGCTCAAGGCTAACGCTCTACCACTTGAGCCACAGTGCTACTTCTAGCTTTTTCTGATTATGTGGTACTGAGGAATCAAACCCAAGGTTTCATGCATGCTAGGCAAGCACTCTACCCCTAAACCACATTCCTAGCCCATAGATAAATTTTTGTTTGAATGCACATCTTAAAAATATTAATGTGGGCTGGGAAGGTGGCTCAGTGGTAGAGCGCTTGTCTTGCATGCCTGAGGCCCTGGGTTCGATTCCTCGGCACCACATAAGCAAAAACAAAAAAGCCGGAAGTGGCACTGTGGCTCAAGTGGTAGAGCGCTAGCCTTGAGCTGAAGAGCTGAGGGACAGCACCCAGGCCCAGAGTTCAGGCCCCACGACTGGACAAAAAATAAATAAATAATATATATTAATGTATATGAGTTTTTTTTCTGGTATGGAGGTTTGAACTTTGAATCTTCATACTTAGTTGGCTTGCTTGGCTTGGCCCCACATCTCAAGTATGCCTTTTTCCTATTTATAGTTGAGATAGAATCTGATGGGCTTTTCCATTCAGGCTGGTTTTGCAATCCTCTGGTTCTCAACCTCAAACCTCTGTATCTCAACCTAGGATTACAGGTGTAAGCCTAATGTATTTGACCATTTTTTGTTTTATTGATAATTTGAGTCTTTGTTATATTCTTTGTCTATTTTTTTGTTAAAGATACTATCTCCTTGTTACACATGTCATATATATTTTTCTCCATGTTGCCTTTGGTTTTATTTTGTTAATGGGGCACTTTTCTAAATACATCTCCTATTTTGTCCTATTAGTCATTTCCTTTAAGACTTGGGTTATTTTGTTTATTCTGTGGTGCTGGAGAGTGAACTGAGGTCATTATGAATGTATGCTAAATAAATGCTCTACCAGTGAGCTACATCTCCAGCCTATAATTTGAGGTTTAATATAGTTGTCAGATTATGGGAATATCCAGTACTTTCATGCTTTTGGTTTTTTTCATTTAAGTCTTTGCTTTGTCAGGAGTTTTATTTCTGAATGCTGACATCATTCTTTCCAGATTTAAAGCAGCAAGTTGGTCTGTGTGTTATTGGATATGTACAGTAACATATGTTTTAGGGTTTCCCATTCTCTTTATTTGTTCCTATAGAAATTCCACAGTTTTGGGTTTTTTTGTTTTTTTGGTTGGTCATGGGGCCTGAACTCTGGGCCTGGGCGCTGTCCCTGTTTTTCAGCTCAAGGCTAGCACTCTACCACTTGAGCCACAGCACACTTCTGGCTTTTTCTGCTTATGTGGTGCTGAAGAATCAAACCCAGGGCCTCATGCAATCAAGGCAAGCACTCCACCACTGAGCCACCTTCCCAGCCCAATTCCACAGTTATAATTCATCCTATAGGGTTAGTCTTCCCTTCCTTCTCTTCTTTTTCAGAATATTCATAACTATTTATGGCATATTTGTTCTTCAAAAAAACTTAGAATCAATTTCTCAAGGTAAAAAATTTTTAATTTTAATTAGGATTGTATCCAATTTTTTGTTGATAAATGTAGAAATTCTTTTTCTCTTTGCAATGCTGTCTTCTTAACCAAGAACAAAATGCCATTCTTCATTTATTCTTACCTTCCCTTTTTTTTCTCAAGGCCAGCTAGAGCAAAAAGTTAGCAAGACTCTCACTCAGATCAGCAAGCCAGGTGTGGTAGCAAGTTTCTGTCATCCCAGCTATGTGAGGGCTTATGGAGGAGGATCACAATCCAGAGCTGGACCTGGACATAGCATGGGACCCTATTAAAAAGGAAAGCCCAAAAGGATCAAGGGTATGGCTCAAGTAGCAGAATGCCTGCCTACCAAGTGTGAGGCCCTGGCCAAAAAAAAAGGGTAACTGTCAAGCTGTTAAGAACTACCTAAAGAAAAAAAAAACAAAATAAAATGCACAGCAAGTACATTTTTAATGACTTTGTTTTCTGAAAATTTGAAAAGCACATCTCTCAAAAATAGTATTGTGGAATAGTTGTGTGTATGCGTACTCGTGCATGTGCAAGTGTGCAGCTCCAGGGGCTTAAATTAAGGCCTGGGTGCTGTCCTTGAACTTTTTTACTCTAGGCTTGATGCTTACCAATTGAACCACAGGGTGGGGGAGGGGTGGTGGTGGTGATGGTGGTGGTGGTGGGGTGTGTGTGTGTGTGTTTGCCTTGAACTCAGGGCCTGGACACTGTCCCTGAGCTTCTTTTGCTTAAGACTAGCCACCGCACTACTTCTGGCTTTTTCTGTTTATGTGGTACTGAGGAATCGAACCCAGGGCTTCATGTATACTAGGCAAGCACTCTACCACTAAGCCACATTCCCAGCCCCACTTCTGACTTCTTGATGGTTAATTTGAGGTAAGAGTCTCATTGACCTTCCTGACCAGGTTGGCTTCAAACCACAGCCCTCAGATCTCAGCCTCCTGAGTACCTAGGACTGTAGGGGTGAGCCACCAATGCCCAACCTGGAACAGGTTGGGTTTTTGTTTTTTTCCTTGGCTGGTCCTGGGACTTGAACTCAGTCTGAGTATTGTCCCTTTTTTCTTACAGCTGGTGTTCTATCACTTAGCCACAGCTCTATTTCCAGCGTTTTATTAGTTAGTTTAAGGCTAACTAATTTGGGTTGTTCTGGAAGCAAATATCATCCTAGGGTTCGAGGCCTGAACTCAAATAATGAAAAAGACAAAGAGGTGTTTATTTTCTTTCATTACATGTGCCTATTTTCAGTATTTTCTTGAAACAGTGACTGTACATGGATGTGTGTATGTGTGTATTTTTTGCTACTGGGGCTTGAACTCAGGACCTGGGCATTCTCCCTTAGCTTTTTCACTCAAGGCTAGAACACTACCACTTGAGCCACAACTCTACTTCTGGTTCTTTGGTGGTTAATTGGAGATTAGAGTCTCATGGACTTTCCTGCCCTAGCTGTCTTCATACAGCTATTTTCAGATCTTATACTTCTGATTAGTTAGGATTACACGCGTGATCCATGGGTATATGTCTTTTTTCTTTGAAAAAATAGGGAGGTCTTCCTCCTCTAAGGATATTCCTTTTCCAGGCTACAGGAAAATGAGAAATTTAGAAGATAAAATACTTTACATGTAGATGATGCTATCTCTCTCTTTGCTTAGGAGAGTTTCTAGTCCCAATTGAGTATGTGTGCATGTACACATGTATCTATGTGTAATTTTATAGAACTACAAGTTACAATTAATGCTCTATTTACATTTGAAATGCTTATTCTTGTTGCAGTTACTCAGGGAGAAACTCAAAATTTCAACTAAAATTTTGTTTAAACTTTGGGCATCATATATCATTTGATGCTTAGCCTACTGTATAGAAATAGCTGTGTGTATTAGTGAGGGTGTATGTGTGTGTATATATGTGTGTTTATGTGATACAGTTGCTCACAGCTCTATCAAGACTTGCTACCATATAGTTAGGTAAAAGACTAACCGCAACATATGTGTATTTGATTGCAGGTGTCCCATTTCCCAAAAACTTCATGTCTGTGGCAAAGACCATTCTGAAACGTCTGTTCAGGGTTTATGCCCATATTTATCACCAGCACTTTGATTCAGTGATGCAGCTGCAAGAGGAGGCCCACCTCAACACCTCCTTTAAGCACTTTATTTTCTTTGTTCAGGTAAGTGAGCTGTGTTGATTTTTGGGTCCTCTGACTTAGACTTATTTGGATTAGTAACCTTAATAAAGACCAGTGAGTGTAGTTTGGCATCTGTGTGTCTCACCGGTAATCCTAGTTACTCAGGAGCCTGAGATCTGAGAGTCTCTGTTTGAAGCCAGCCCAGTCAGGAGAGTCCTCAAGCCTCTTATCTCCAGTTAACTGCCAGAAAACCAAAAGTAAGGCTGTGACTTAAAGTGCTAGCCTTGAGCACAAAGGCCCTGAATTTAAGCCCCACAACTGACCAGAAAAAAACAACCCAAAACATAGCATTGTACCTTATTATAGATGGAGAGCAGCTAAGTACAAGCATGATTCTTTTGTTTTCTTTCCATAATGGTTCATTTATGTGTACTACAGCAGCATGAAATGCATCATCCCTGTTTGAGCCCTTCTACTTCTGGCTCCCCAGGTCTCTGATGAGGATGTGTCATTTAGTGATGTGACCTGTTGCCTTATGAGCACTTAGAACTAAAGATTTTAAAAATCACAATAATTCACACCATTTGGATGAGATATTGTTGGAAACATGGATTCTCTTGTGTCAGAAAGTGTATAGACATATTTGTCAAGGCATTTTCCTTCTGCACAGAGGGGTACTGCCACTCTCCCCAGAGTTAGGCAGGCACACTGGGTGGGGTGGTCTGCTTGTTTTTATCCCATACCAAGAGGTAACATTGTCCCCTCTCTTTGTTGCTAAGGAGTCAGACTCACATTTCAATTCACAATTGCTTACCAGGATAATGGTGTAATCCAACCACTCAAAGGGGGTCTGTCTAGTCACTTCACACCTGCTGGAAGAAGGGTAGCTGATAGTTACAACTGGAAGAGGTTGGTAAAAGTCAAGAGTGGGGGTTCTTCTTTTAACTACATTGGTAAGGACTCATATTCTTGTCATGACTAGCTGGTTACAGATAACACAACTGGTAGTTACAGTTGAAGTGAAGAAGCAGATAATTCCAGGAAATATCAGTACTAGGAAATATCAGTACAGAATGGTGACTGGTTACAAGATGGAGAAATTTTGATTTGATGGAAAAGATTGCTTTTTCTTACATCAAAGAATTAGCTGGACATGGTGGTACATGTCTGTAATCTCAGTATTTGGGAGGCAAGAGGATTGTAAGTTTGAGACTAGCACTGACTATAGCAAACCTGTCAAAAAAAAAAAAGCAAAGAATCAGGGTTCCTTTAGATTAACTTTAGAGCTCTGTAATTCTATACATAAAATATTGTCTCTAGATTGTGTATATAGAATTTAATGGTAGAAAATGGTTGCTTTTTGTAGATTCTATATATTATAGCTCAGTGTAGAGCACAAAGGAAAACGTGTGTGTGTTTGTGTGTGTGTTTAAAAGTACACAGTTTAAGAGTTGGCCAGGATCAAAGGTTTAGTTTATAGTTTTGGGATAAATTCAAATACTGATTTTGGTAAGTGTTGGTTTAAACAATGTTTAATTTTAGTATTTAACATGTACTCATTCTAATACCTATAGTTGCTTATTGAACTCTCCTGTTACAAGAATATGGGGAAAACTCAGTTTCTCCTGCTATATTCTGATAACACAGATCACTTTGTGACCAAACATAGGACACTCTTCCCATAGACACACACAACTGCAACAACAAGCAAGTGACTGATTGTTTACAGCTTCTCTGCTCCCAGTCCCCTGATCTAATTCATTTCAATCTGATGTTATCTGTAGGTATATCCATCCTACGGTTGAGAGTTCATTCCCACAAGTCTGCTACCTACTTCAGATGCTGGTCAAAAATAATGGATTTAGTTGGGCAGCAGGTGCTCAAGCCTCTAATCATAGCTTCTTGGGGGGCTGAGATCTGAGGGTTGTGGTTTGAAACCAGGCTGGGCAGAAAAGTCTATGAGACTCTTCTCTACAATTAACCAACAAAAAGCCAGAAATGGCTGTGGCTCAAGTAGTAGAATACCAGTTTTGAGCAAAAGAGCTAAGGCTCTGAGGCTCTAAGTTCAAGCCCCAGTACTGGCATACACACAAAAAGTAATGGATTTTTGCCAGTACTTCTGATAGATCCACATATCAAGGTTCCCTGGAGACTCTCCTTGAGTTGGATTAATTGGTTAGAATGGCTTACAAAACTCAAGGAAACCTGTTTACTGATTTATTAGAAAGTTTTACGGAGGATACAGTCAAGCAGCCACGTAGAAGAGCTTCACAGGTAAGGTATGGAAAAAGGAACATGTCCTTTCAGAACTACATTGTTGACATGTAGAAATTTTCAACACATGGAATTATACCTTTTATATAGAAGATACCCTTAGAATGTAGTTATAAAATAAAAGTCAATTTATTGTTAATAACAAAAAATATGTTGTTAAGCTGTTCAGAAGCTCTGTCCTTTGGGTGTTTTTAAGGGGACTTAATTCTGATAACAGTGACCATTGGTGAATAACTTACTCCTCAATCTCACTTCTCTCCAGAGAGAGAGAGAGAGAGAATGAGAGAGAGAATGAGAGAGAATGAGAATCTGGTGCTGTAATACTCATGTGTTGTCGTTCTGGTGACCAGCTGATGTGCTCACAGCCACCAGCTATACCATTAGCATACAAAAGACATGCTAGTATAGAGGATCCAATGTTTCTAACAGGAATGGACAGGAAACAGGAAGGAAAGCCAGTGGGTACCACAAAGTCATACCTATGTTTTAAAAAGGAGTATAAACAATTCTGTTTTTAAATATTTTCTTTTGGATTTATTAAACCCCTTCTCTAAAAAACATGTAAAGGCCGGGTGTCAGTGGCTCACACATGTAATCCTAGCTACTCAGGAGGCTGAGATCTGAGGATCATAGTTCAAAGCCAGCCTGGGCAAGAAAGTCCGTGAGACTCTTATCTCCAATAAACTACCAGAAGACCAGAAATGGCGCTGTGGCTCAAGTGGTAGAGCTCTCACCTTGAACTGAAGAGCTCAGGGACAGTGCCCAGGCCCAGAGTTCAAGCCCCATGACCAACAAAGAAAAACAGCACCAAAAACCCCCAAACAAATAAAAACATGTAAACATCCACTGGGATAAAGCTGAAGTGGTAAAATGCAAGTATGAGGCTCTAAGGTCAGTCTCTTATGGTACGAAAACAATAAAGAATCTTAATTTCGGTCCATTGTAAACTTTTATTGTTCTTCTCTTTTTAGGAGTTTAATCTGATTGACAGGCGTGAGTTGGCACCTCTTCAGGAATTAATTGAGAAGCTTGGATCGAAAGACAGATAAATGTTTCTTCTAGAACACAATTTCCTTCTTCCTTCATCTCCTGCTAGATCTTTCTCATTGCTATCTTGTATAGACTAGTGATACAAACTTTAAGAAAACAGAAAAAGACACCCATTATCTGTGTTACAGATAAAATTGTCCTAAAGAGAGAGGGTGCCCTGATAGCTTCAGAGTGAGACCTTGACACAGCCCAGACCGAGGACTGTGTGACCACTCTTGTTACTGTCATTCTTGGTTGTGACAAATAACCTGTTGACTTATTCTTTCACTGAAGAAAGTAATTGGATCTATTTCTGGTGACAGTATAATGGACATTAAGAATTTTTAGCAATAATTTATTAACAAGTTTCCTAAACAAATTTCTTAACAGTCAAATCAGTTTTATTCTCTTCCTTATCATTTAGAATTTCTGTGTCACATTAGATAGCATTTTAATTTCAAGTTTGTATGCTGATGTTTTTATAGATAACAATATACCACTTTTCAGCTAGACAAGGTGGAGTACACCTGTAATCCCAGTTTTTGGAAGGCTGAAGCAAGAAGATCACAAGTTCAAGGCTAACCTGGGCAACTTAGTAAGACCTTGCCTCAAAAAAGAAAAAAAAATATGTATATTTTTCAAAATCTTTGATTCTGGTTAAATGATATGGCATATATGAATGGGATTGACAGAGTTATTTTTCAATGACATAATTCTAATCTTTATTTGGAATTGTATTCACATCTAAATAATTAGGAGTGTACTAAATAATTTTTCTGTGACTTCTAAGGATAGTCTTACAAGTTTTAATTTTTAAATGCTTTATTCAAATTAATGTTGCTTTGGCTAAGAAAAAGAAAACTTAAAACAATTGTGACAGACTTAGATCTTCAAACCACTACTTATGTTCATATTGTTATTTGTAAGCCTTGCAATTCTGAATAAGAGAGTGAATTTAGTATTTAGTACTTCATTATTTTATTTCCTAAAATTTTTTTATTTTTATTTTTTACTGTGACTTGACAGTTTGTATGAGTAGTGTAGGAATGCACTGATTTTACACCAATAAGATTACAATTTAAAAAAAAAAAACCTTTAAGGGTATACTGTAATAGATTTCCTATCGATTTGTGGGGGTGGGGAGAGGAAGAGAGGGGTAAGAGAGAGGGAAAGAGTTTAAAAGGAGACAAAATGGAAGAAGTAAATTTTAAATCTTACTCAATTCCATTAATAGGATGGATTGAGCCTACCTAGGGGTTTTAACCTGTTTTAAATAATACATCAAAACTTGAAATTCTTTGTATTGGATAAAAGAATCTTCCCTTTCAGTGAAGACTTGCCTGTTTTTCATGCTTGAAATATACCAGGCATAGATTTCCTTGAAGACCTGCCAGACTGGCAAAACTTGAGTTTTGTAAACTATGATTTTTGCAAAGCACTCATCATTTTTCTCTGATAAAGATTAGATTTGATAAGGCTTTTTTGTTATTTATTCCAATAGACTATAAAGAATTGTGTAGAAACCCCATTTTCAGAAAGTTTCTAAATATGCATAGAATTGTGAAAGAACTATTTCATCTAATTTAGGCTAAAAACCTTGCATCACTGCTTGAATTTAAAAGTGAGTCCATTGCTTAGCTAGAGAAGAGGACACCCATCCTTCCACATTTTATGATATATTCCAGTCCACATTTATGTTTATCTAAAGGTCTAAATGTCAGCTGTTCTGCACAATTATGTTGATCATTTGCAAACAGGAAAGCAGGTTCCTAAGCCACCACCTAGAACATAATGACTTCATAGCCTTTCATTTTTAAGTTCTCAAGGAATGAAATTTTTCAATAATGGTTGTACTGTCATCCCTAATTCAAATATTTTCAAGTAAAGAGGCTCTCGTTTCTATATGTTTTCAATGATAGAGATCCTCTCTATCTTCATGACTAGGCCCCAACATGAACCAAAGATGGTTACATGCTAGGACAATAGTACAAGTAGCTTATTAGTAGAGTAGAAGTCAAAAGTTTGCTGATAATTGGAAGTTTTCTGTAGTCTTTGTTTTCTTTTTTCTTTTGCATTTTATTGTTATTAAGTAGTTGTACCAAGGGGTTACAGTTCCATGAGTCAGGTTGAATATAATGCTTCTTGAGTAGTGTCACCTCTTCCCTTAGTTCTTCCCCATTTTTCCTTCTTCTGTCCCTAGCCACAAGTTACACAGTTAAACATAATGCACGTTGAATACAATGACTGTATTTGCTCACTCTTCTTCCTTCCATTTTTCTTCGTTTTGCTCCTCCAAACATATTTCCAATCTATGAGTTTTTTCTTTTTTTTTAATGAAAACATTAAAAAAAATGAAGACAGCTTCTCAAACCAGTCTGGCTTAACAATGTACCTAAATAATGTATTTGCTTATTTTGGGAGGGTAGGAGGAGAAGTGGAGGAAGGGAAGAGTGTGGGAAAAGGATAGCACCTTGCTGAGTCACTCTTGGATAATTATTTGAAGGAATCATTATCTGTATTTGCCCATACCCAGGGCCTGCCTCTGCTGCAACACTTCCTTCCCTTTACTCTGCTAAGAAATCATCTCCTCTCAGCATCTCATCTTGTCATACAATCAGTGGGTGGGAAGTGCTTACTAAATTATGAAGTTAATCCTGTGGTGCTTTAATTTTCAGGCCTTTAAGAAAAACTTGGACAGTATATATAGATTTAAAAAACACACTCTTGTACTATGGTTTTTACATTGACAGCCAAATATATCATTTATTCTCCTTCACATTGTGAATAAAGTGACTAAAGGCGCCAGTTAATAAGGTATTCATTCTATCTTAGACTTTAAGAGCACTAGTTCAGACAGCTACTTACTGGAGAAATGCAGATCTGTCTTCTCCATGACTGATAACAAAAGCAGAGTTTCTGTAGTGCAGACACAACGGCAACTTCTTGCAAACTTAAGGGTTCCTGTTTATACTATTGGCTTCATTCTGAACAATGAAGTTATACTAGCAGAAGAACTTCTTAAACATATTACCTCAGAATCATAATCATGTCAGGCCCAAAGAGTTGTAAACCTTAGAAGTGTGTCTGTAAGCAGCTCCAGGCATGATGCTGGGGCTGCCCTGCCTCTTCCTTGAGGCTGCCCCCTGCCACTAAGAAACCCTGGCCAGGAAAATGTTGGCCTGGCCTGCACACCAAACACTGAGCATTTTTTTCCTGCTGATATCAGGACAGTAAGTGGATTTGGACTTAGTTTTACTGTTGTAAAATTGCAGCAAACAGGAAGTAAGAGGCATCTTCCTAGTTTCATACTCAGTTTTAATATTTCTGGACTGTAAAAGGCTTTGGAAGATATACATGTGGCAACAATTTTACTGAAGCATTGAAATTCACTTGAGTTTTTTCTTGACAGATTTTATTTCCAACATGTATTCTGCAACTCCACATGAATTACCAGTGTGTTATAGACTGATTGTAGAACAGCATTCTGTTTGGCCTACATCAAAAGTAGTCTTAGTTACCACCTAAATATTTTTGAATGTTCTTTACATAAAAATTTATGTTGTATTTTTAAACCTTTTGGAACTTTATCTATTTTTCTAAGTCAGTTAACTGTACTTTTCAAAATAAAAGTATTTTGTATCTACTTTTGTAATTTCATCAGAATAAAATATATTGAAAGCAAAAATGACTAACGTGTCTCAACACACTTCTATTTAAATATTGAAACAAGATGTTTTTCAGGTTCTACAGGTTTTATGAAAAATTGAAAGCTTATCTTTTTCTACTAAAAATTTTATTTCCTTGATATTGAAATTCTAAGAAAAAAGAAGTGACTGACAGTGTGAGATCTGAAGATAATGGTTCAAAGCCAACCTGGGCAGCCAAGTTCACGAGACTCAGGAAACTGGTAGTGGAGCTGGGGCTTAAGGCACTCGAACACTAGCCTTGAATAAAAAGCACTCAGGGAAGGCCCCAAGTTCAAACCCTATAGTCACCACCATCACCCAAACCTTAAGAATGTGTTTACCTGTGGGTTTATAATACTTTGGGGCTGGGAATGTGGCTTAGTGGTAGAGTGCTTGCCTAGCATGCATGAAACCCTGGGTTCAGTTCCTCAGTGCCACATAATCAGAAAAAGCCAGAAGTAGTGATGCGGCTCAAGTGGTAGAGTGCTATCCTTGAGCAAAAGAAGCTCAGGGACAGTGCCCAGGCCCTGAGTTCAAGCCTTAGGACTAGAAGAAAAAAAAAAGGACTCTGGATGGGCACTGGTGGCTCAGGAAGCTGAGATCTGAGGATCATGTTTCAAAGCCAACCTGGACAGCAAAGTCTGTGAGACTCAGAAAACCAGAAGTAGAGCTGTGGCTTTAAGTGGTAGAGCACTAACCTTGAGCAAGAAGAGCTCAGAGACAGTGCCCAGGCTTTAAGTTCAAGCCCCACAACTGACAAAAAAAAAAAAAATCTTTGTACAAGATATGGGCTATCTGGCAATCAGTTTTGTATTTTTTAAAGAATGTTTAGAGTTTCAATAGGCTTAAAAGTAATCACAGAAATGCTTGTAAGGGCAGGGAGCTGCTCAATGCCTGTAATCCTAGCTATACTGGAGCCTGAGATATGAGGATCCCAGTTTGAAGCCAGCCTAGGCAATGAAGTTCACGACTCTCATCTCCAATTACCAAAAAGCTTAGGGAAGTAAAGCTGTGGTTCAGATGGTAGAGCATTAGCCTTGAGCAAAGAAAGCTCAGGGACAGCACCCAGGCGTTGAATGCAAGGCCTTAGGACTTATTAAAAAATTATTGGGATATATAATGGCTGTCTGAAAGAAATTTGAAGCATTATGAAAGACCAGTGAATTAGCATAGCTAATCTTTGGGAGGGACAGAGTGAGCCAGGCTTTGAAGTATCACAGCATGTCCAGAGCATGCCTTTATCTTTGGTAGCAAATAACCATTGATCCTATCTCCTGGTATGAACACTACTGCCTGCACTGCTACTGCTGGCCACTAGGTGTTTCCTAGAAGCTAAATGCCTTCCATGACCTAAGTAAAGGATTTTTTTTTTTTTAACCCAGCAACTTTTTTCCCCCTTTCAGTCATGGAGCTTGAACTCAGGGCCTGGGAGCTGTCCCTGAGATTTTTTGCTCAAGCTAGCATTCTGTCACTGAGCCACAGCTCCATTTTTGGTTTTCTGGTGCTTGGAGATAAAAGTTTCATCGCCTTTTCTGCTCAGGTTGGCTTCAAACAGTGATCCTCAGATCTCAGCCTCCCGAGAGAAGCTAGGATTACTGGCGTGAGCCACCAGCACTTGGCTTACCCAGTACCTTCTTTTTGTGTATCTTCCTGACCAAAAACAACATGGTACTGTTATCCTGTGCAGTATGCAAAGGAAGCTTGAGAAAACATCTGTCCTGTCCTTGGAGCTATGGGTCTCATAGCAAAAATCAAAGATGCTAGGTTCCAGAAGCATGGACAGGCTGCTGGTCTATGAACTTTTTGTTCCTGTTCTTGAAGAGAACAGGAAGATACATAATTTTCACCAGAATGTAAATATACAATTCACCTCGGTTTATTTTTGTACCAGGCTTACTAAGTGAAGGAAGATTATTAATTTAAATTCCAACTAAACTCTGGTGACTAGCAATTTGAATAGCATTCTCTGTGGAAACACCAGTTTTAGGGGAGTCCTTAAGACGACCATCACATTAACTCAGCAGCCTAGGGAAGTGGTGACAATTGCAGACTTTGTATTTTTTTTTTTTTTGCAAACAGACAAGTTCATAATTTCTTTGATTTGAATTTACAGAAATCCTGGTGCTTAAGAATGGTAAGCAAAGCCGGGCACTGGTAGCTCACGCCTGTGATCCTAGCTATTCAGGAAACTAAGATCTGAAGATCATGAAAGTCCATGAGACTTTTTTTGGGGGGTGGGAGGGTTGGTCTGTGGGGCTTGAACTCTGGGCTTGGGTGCTGTTCTGCGCTCTTCAGCTCAAGGCGAGCGCTCTACCACTTGAGCCACAGAGCCACTTCCCGTTTTGGAGTGGTTTATTGGAGATAAGAGTCTCACAGACTTTCCTGCCTGGGCTGGCTTTGAACCACAATCCTCAGATCTCAGCCTCCTGAGTAGCTAGGATTACAG